ACCTTTGTAAACCGGTACTTTGATGTGGCCATTCTGGGGCGTGGTAGGTGTTCCTTTCTCACCACGTTTCCGACATCTTTTTCGCCTAGCCCGACCGTCGGAAACCACCGGCACCGCGAATGTTCCCCATCGGTCAAAACAGAGAGCTGTCCGAGTGATCGTCTTACTCATTGAATTTGCATATGATAGATTCATATGGAAATATATTTGACTGCAAGCGTTTCTTCTGAAGGACATTTTCAGATTGAGATGAAAACAGTTTCGCTTTGAGACTTGTGCGGCCAGCATGGTAGCCGACAGGTTTCATGTGGTTTCGTGTTGCCAGCGTGGATGTGGTTTCGTGTGGCCAGCAAGGTCCTCGAGATGTTTCATGTGCGCTCTCGTGGTCGTGGTACACGAGATCTTGTATGTGGTTTCGTGTGGCCAGCGTGCTACTCGAGGTGTCGCATATTTCGAGATATCTTATAGGGCTTCGTGGGCCCAGCGTGGTACTCGAATTGCTTCCGGCCACGAGCTGGCTTCGCTGGTGCTAGAGTGGTACTAGACACTTTTCAGGTGGTTTTTCTTGTGGCTAGCGTGGTACTCGAGATGTTCCATGCGGTTTCGTGTGGCCAGCGTGGTAATACGGACACTCGGCCAAAGTGCTGGGGTAGTGGCAAGATGCCTGGGGCGGAATTCCCACCAAAAGCGGGTTGGGATCAGCCGCCACTACCAGGTGTAAGTGTAAGGCCGTCAGGATGATCAAACGCGTGATGAAGAACTGCATTTGTTTTGCGTTTTTTGACGAGCAGATGGATCGTGTCCACGTGAGCACATCGCGGGTGCGTCTGGCATCGCCGTAGGTGGCACTGTGCTGCAGATGATGCGGGGTCTTAGCCGCGCGCCGACAGCCTCAGAGAACCTTTTGAGGCCGTTTGGTTGCAGGCCAGGAACAGGCAGGGCAAAGGCTCTGGCCCTGTCACAGTCCTATGGAAAGCAGTCCATCACAGCTGGGCTGGCAGCGGCAACATCCCTGGAAGTTGTGGTCCGTCAGGCGCTTCGTGACATGGTTTTAAGTAAAGATATGCAAGGTTGGACCGCCGTTCGGGTGAGCCTGAGCCATGCACACACAGGAGCACGAAGAATACTCCGTTCCTGCCTTTGTGCGTTTGAACCCAGCAAATGCCTGTGTCATGGATCTTTTCCCAACACACCCGTGGAATTTTGAAGCATAGCACATTCAGATGTTTAAACTGTTTTTTTTTCTCAAGAGGATCACCTGCAATTCGCGGCGGTTCCGTAACCTAAAATGGGACCTAGCAGATGCAGACTCCAGCATCATATGGTTAGAGCTTTCGCATGACTTTCAAGCTTGTACACACGTTTGGCTGGCCCCAGCAAATGAAGCTGGTCCCGGAGTGAATGCTGAAAGGGCTGCGAACCTTTTCGCGCCAGCTGTTCGTCGGGTGCTACTGCTCTGGGGTTTGGGACAAGGAAACGTGCAGCACGTTTCCCGTGTCATCGCTTAAGTCTCTTGCAACACCTTTCGAGCCGGTTTTTTGCAAGGTTTCGGTGCGCAAGTTGCTCACTCCAGCAGCGCTAGATTCGCAATTGAACAGTAATTTCACAAGCGGAAGTTTATCCCTAACTTCATGCAATTCTCTGCTCAGACCTATCTGGACGCCACGTCCAATGCGACGTTTGTGGCGGAAGCACGCGGTTTTTGAAGTGCCAGCTCCTACGAGCGTGCGGCAGTGCGCTTCGCGCAAAGCACATGCACATGCGGTTCAGTGGAGTGATGAAGAAAATTGGAACTCGAGGAAGCGTGGGATTGGAGACACCGAGTTCGCATTGAAGAACGCCCCTTACAAAACAGGACAGCCCCATCGCTGCACAAACACGTGTTAGGGCCCTTCGACGAAGGCACCGATCTTTGCTGTGCTGCTTGCGAGAAGCGCGCGGCGCGAGGGAATTTGTCAAGATTCCTAAAGGAGAAATGCGGCAGTCTTCAAGACTGCGGCGAGGGCGGGGCCAGAGGGAAGCACAAGCGTGCAGCTGGCCTAAACCCGATCATGGACTGAGGAATGAGTTTGTTTTAAGTGCATGACTCCTGTCACTGCAGCAGCTACGACCTGTGAGGGCGCCTTCGAAGAACGCGGAACGGACGCATCCCAAGCCTGAAAACCCACTTCAGGATTCTATGCCGGAGTTCCGGCTGCGAGTCCTTCTTGATCACTTTCAATGCGAAGTCAGATCGGCATGCGCCTGCCCCAATGCTGGCCGGGGCGGAAGGAGAGCCCGCATTCGGTTGGGATTTCTCGCGGTCAGGCCCTGACCACCTCTTCCGAAAACCTCTCATGAGAGGCCTCGAAGGATGCCTCGAGGAGGCATCGAGATCTGACTGAAGCCGACCTAAGGTGTCTCACCAGACAGGTGCTAGCCCCTGATCGCTGTCCCTGCCAGTCTGAGGGTGCCACGCGAGAAGGGGCGCGGCTCTCCAAGCCGCACGCCACACTGCCATGCTAAGGGGCCTGATCGAAGCCCGGGTTGCTTCGCGCCTCTCCGAGCAATCGGCTCACTCAGGATGAGAGCGGAACCGACTGTGCGCAACGGAGAAGAGGACCTGAAAAGAACACGAGACCATGCTATCATTGCCTGACCGAGGCTACAGCACCTGTTGGCTGAGCGAGGGGCGTGCCGAGAGAACCAGAGCCCACGCTGGCTACACAAAACCACATGAAACATTTCGGGTACCACGCTGGTCACACGTCACGAAACCACATGAAACATCTCGAGTACCACACTGGCCAGACGAAACTATGCGTGGAACATCTCGAGTACTACGCTGGCCACACGAAACTACCTAAAAAATGTTCAGTGCCACGCCAGCCACCGGAAACCGCGTGAAACATTTCGAGGGCCACGCTGGCCTCAAGACATCCAGGCTGGCCACACGAAACCACATGAAAAATCTCGAGTACCACGCTGGCTACACGAAACCACATCAAACATTTCGGGTACCACGCTGGCCACACGTCACGAAATCACATGAAACATCTCGAGTACCACGCTGGCCGCACGAAACCACATGAACCATCTCGAATACTACGCAGGCCACACGAAACCACATCCACGATGGCCACAGGAACCACATGAAACACGTCGACTACCACCTTGGCCAGGCAGGAATCCGCATGAAACATCTCGAGTACCGCACTGGCCACACGAAACCACATGAGACATGTCGTGTACCACGCTGGCAAACCGAAACCAGATGAAGCATCTCGAGTGCCATGCTGGCCTCACGAAACCACATGAAACACCTCGGGTACCACACTGGCCACACGAAGCCACTTCCACGTTGGCCACAGGGAACCACATGAAATATGTCGACTGCAAAATTGGCCACGCGAACCAAATCAAACAGCTCGAGTACCACTTTGGCCACGCGAAACCACATGAAGCATCTCGAGTATGGCGCTGGCCACACGGAACCACATCTACACTGGCCACATGAAACATTCTCTAGTATCATGCTGGCCACACTAAAGCACATGAAATATCTCGAAGTCCAGGCTGGCCACACGAAGCCACATGAAACAACTCGAGCACCACCCTGGCCACAGGCAACCGCATGAAACGTCTCGAGTACCACGCTGGCCGCAAGAAACCACATGAAGTATGTCGCAGACCACGCTGGCAACACGAAGCCGCATGAAAATCTCGAGTACTATGCTGGCAAAACAGAACCACCTGAAACATCTCGAATACTACGCAGGCCACACGAAACCACTTCCACGCTGGCCACACGGAACCACCTGAAGTATGTCGACTGCCACGTCGGCCACACGAACAAATGAAACATCTCGAGTACCACTCCGGCCACACGAAACCACATGAAGCATCTCGAGTACGACAGTGGCCACACGAAACCACGTCTACACTGGCCACATGAAACCACACGAAACATCTCGACTACCACGCTGGCCACACTAAACCACATGAACTATCTCGAAGTCCAGGATGGCCACACGAAGCCACATGAAACAACTCGAGTACCACCCTGGCCACAGGAAACCGCATGAAACATCCCAAATACCAATCTGGCTGCACGAAACCACATGAAGCATCTCCACTACCACGCTGGCGACACGAAACCCCACCACACCGGCCACAAGAAACTACACGAAACATTTCGAACACCACACTGGCCACAGGAAGCCACATGAAACATCTCCAGTACCATGCTGGCCACACGAAACCGCATAAAACATCTCGAGTACTACACTGGCCACGCGAAACCACATGAAACATCTCGAGTACCACGCTGACCATACGAGACCACATGAAACATCTCGAGTACCACGCTGGCCACACGAGACCAAATGACACATCTCGAGTACTATGCTATCCACACGAAACCACATGAAACATCCTTTAGTACCACGTTGGCCACACGAAACCACATGAAATGTCTCGAATACCTTGAAACCACCGCTCCGGAACCGCTACGGAAATCCTGTGCCGCTCCCCGCTTTGAAACCGGCTCGAACCCGCTCCGGAACTTGCTCCGGAACCCGCACTCCGGAACCCGCTCCGCAACCCGCTCCAGAACCTGCTCCGCAACCTGCTCCGGAACCTTCTCTTCACCTGCTCCGGAACCTGCTGCGGACGGAACCCGCTCCGGAACCAGTTCTGCTCCGGAACCTGTTCCGGCCGGCTCCAGCAACCGGCTCCGGAACCCCGGACGGACCGGCTCCGGAACCCGCTCCGGAACCCACTCCGGAACCCGCTCCAAAACTCAAGGGCTGAAGACCCCATCGTGTCGTTGTTGGGGAAAAGATAGGCCGAGAGGGAGCGAGGAGGCAAGTTGATCTTTGCGGCAACATTCCAAACATCGTCTTGGAGAGAACCAGCGAGGATGCTACACATGTAAGATATCTTGGTGTTCGCATGAACACACTGTGACAGGCACGTTCATGCTTTCATTTCAAAAATATCTGAATTTTGTGAAATGGCAGGGCTCGCTGACAGATGGACGCAAGCGCATCCAGGCTGCAACAGAGGAGTTCCTCGACGAGGAAAAGGATAGAGCATTCACCACTTATCTCGAAGAGCCTACGGAGATGTGCTTGGAGGCCATGGGGCAAGACAGCTTGGATGTGAACGTGCACGGCGCAAACACACACTTGGCTGTTCTGGCCTCAACACTGGCTGTGAGGCTTCCCCGGGAGCCTGACCTTGAAGATGAGAGCAAGGGACTCGCTCCTTTTTTGGATTTCGAGTTCGCGGACGGAAGCTTGGAAATTCTGCAGCGCCCTGAAAACTTCGGGAAGAAGTTTGGAGCCGTCGCGGAGTGCAGGGAGCCAAGCATTCGAAGCGGTCCCGGGCTGTGGGACACGAAGTCGTGGCTGCAACGTGGCGGCTGTGCCAAGGACTCGGCAAGGAAGGCCGCTTCCAGCTGCAAGTCCGCGGCCCCCATGAGAGCAAAAGCCAAGGCTTATGTGGAGCCTTTTGCCCAAGTTTTCACGGCCCGGCGATTTTTGCCACGCCTTCTCAGCTATCTCACCAGCGACGAGATAGATCTCGGACAGGATCTGAACACAGAGTTGCAGGCATTGCTGAACGGAGCTGAGAGCGACGCTTTCCATGGGCCGCCGCTGGGCCCCGTCACACCTGAGGAAGCAGCGAGCTGCCAACAGTTTCTGTGGTCTGCCAGTGACACCACACGCCCTCAGTTTCAACTTGGCAGGGCGATCAAGCTGTTTCAATCCATCGGCATCGTTAAATCCAGTGATCAGATGATCGACTCGGAGTCTGGATGCCAGTGTGACGGTTCGGCCCCGAGTTCCCTGCCCAATCCTGAACGAGATTCTGTCAAGCGGCGGAGGATTGGGAAACAGGGTGCCAAATGAAACCACTGTGAGCTGGATCAGCTTGCTGAACTCATCTTTGCTCCATGTGTGCAGTCCTTCGTAAGGGGCCTTGGTGGGTTTTGCTTGCGAATGGCCTCCGCCTAATTTGCAAGTTTTGCCCTTGTGGCGAGCTTGTCTCAGCTCAGCTTTGCTGCAGTTGTCTTAACAGTAGTGTGGAATATTTTCGAACTCCGTATCCAGGAGCAGCTTGACTTCACAGCCTAACTGCAGCAAGGCATTGCGAGGCTAACGCTGAAGTTTTGTGGGAGAATCTTGGAGCGGCCCTGCTGCCGCTTCCATGCGCCCTTTCTGTCTGCACTACTGTCGATTGGATGGCTTCATCTTCCACCACTCTTACATGCTGCGCACTACGTGCAGCCTGCCCTCCGCTGATTGCCTGCGTGGTTTTCAGGTCCTACATGCCTGCAGGCGTGCGCGCCGAAAAGAAGAGCTGTCGTCGGTAAGCCAGGTAATTGGAGCTTTTCCAGCGAAGAACTCCGGCAGTTCTGGGGCTTGTAGCTCGTGTGTGACATGTCAGTATTGCAACAACGCCGAACGATCGAGTTTTGCCCTTGTGGCGAGCTTGGCTCGCAGGCCAGGGATGTCCACTGCTGACAGGGGTGGCCTGGCCAGGCTGCGGTGCGACCGAAATGAGCGCGAGCACTCGTAGCAAGCAGGGCCCGGCCCAGCCCAGCCCAGTCCACTCCTTTCCCGGCACTGGCCTTGAGAACCCGGCTGCAGGGCTTCCGCCATCGCAGCGGCGTCGAAGGCGACCTAGCAGGCCAGGCCCGGAAGAAGGAAGAGGATCTCTTGCTGGTTCCCGTCTTCGTAGGCTCCATCTTCTGATCAGCCTCCTTTTGATGCTGGCATGTGCTGGCCTCATCCTCCTGAGCTGCCTCCTCTTCGGCCGTGGGAATACTTCTTATCCGGGGTTGGGAGTGGGATCATCTGGGATCGGACGGCCAGGCTTGTTTCCTGAAGGCTTTCAGGTATGGCACGCGTCTCACAACAGTGCGAACGGATGCCCTATGCTGCACGGAAGACGACTGTCCGTGGCTTCGTGCGTGGTGTATCTCCAGCGTAGAAATCTTTGGAAAGGGCCGGAACGGTGCCCCAGTGCGGTGTCGAAGCCCAACATGCAAGAAGAATAGTGCAGGCTGGGATACAGACCTTGCCACTTGTCGTTCAAGCATCGAGTCAGACATCTCGTTCATGTGCTTGTCCGCACGTGTCTCCCGCAGCTCGCGCACAGACTTGGCTTTTGGTCCATGTTCCCACATCATCATGATGGGACACGCCTGGGTATAGCTATTATAGCTGATGTATCGAGTAATTACCTTCTCTTCTCGTTCTGATCACACTAGGGTTAGTAACAGCGAAGCAGTTCTTTGGGAGTGACTTACAAAGTCATGCAAAGTCAGGTCCCGGCAGTCTGCAAATGACGGCTCGGGCACTTCCTTGCACAGCGACATAGCCGACCGAAGCCGGAAGCTCGGTTCGGGCTTGTTCTGAATCGTGGTGCACTCGTTCTCAATGCTGTTGCAGAAAGAGTTTCTTCAGTCGTGAGGAGGCATTGGCAGAGATCTTCAGACAATGTGGCTCTGCCAACAGCTCTGGTTGTTCTAGCAATTAGAATCCGTGTGTCTTGCTGCCCAGGTTCAGGGGGCGGTGCCGGAGAATGCCTCTGGGTCATCCTTTTCGGCAGTCGGCGCCTGAGTCAGGTGTGAAGAGTTTGCAGCTTCGTCTGAGGGCGACAGCATACCTAAAGGATCATGGGACGGTTCGATCGACAGTGTGTCTGGCGTTTGTCATCAACTGGCTAGTCCTTCTTCTGGCTGCAGGTAGTCGCCACAGAAGCTGCCTTCGAAGCTACGTGCCGATGGAAGCGTGGTTGCCTGGGCGACCACCTTGCTCGTGGAACTCTGGAGGCTGGATATTTTCGAGCGTCGCTGCAGACAGACACTTCATGTTGTGTACATAGAGTTGTTTGAGTATAATATGAGCCTTGGCATCAAGTGGGGCTGCCAATTCTGTTGTACAGTACCTGCACTTGAGTCCCGCGGCAGAAGCGGCATCATCAAGTTTGACGTGCATGGCCGGTGGTGTCGCTGGGCTTAGGGCAACTGTGATTTTCACATACTGGAGCCAGCCTTAATTCTGGGCTGCAGCTGTCATCGGTACTGGATGTGCGAAGCTGTGGTTTGGACCAACCCTACTTGCTGCCAATGGTTCAAGATTGCGTTGAATGAGGCTTGTGCTCGACCTAAAGCATCCTCCCACTGCAACGACTGATCACCTCACGCAAGAGGCGCCGCTGCAGGATGTTGCTGCAGATTGATGGAACCGTCCCGTGGGGAGCTCATGTGCATTGCGGGAACGGTTTTTGCACTACGAACGACTCGGAATGACCATGCGTGCTAATTCGACAGGAAGTTCTGACACAACGTGGCCGAAGCAATCTGTTGCCTTCGCTTGCAGCAAGGCATGAGATAAGAATACGAACTAAAGGGACTTGGACATACGTTCTCCAGCACAGCAGATTCGACAAGCGACAAAGCCAGCCGCTGCATGATTCCTGCAGTTTGAAGCACAGAGCTCTCACAGAAAAATTCGTCTTTCAGGACCATCGCGAGACTAAGTAGATTCCAGATCCTGGACACTGTCGATCTGTCGATTTGCGTGTCAATCTCTCCTGTCTTTCCCTCTCTGTCTCTCTGTCTCTGTCTCTCTCTCTGTCTCTCTGTCTCTCTGTCTCTCGTCTCTCTGTCTCTCTGTCTCTCTGTCTCTCTGTCTCTCTGTCTCTCTGTCTCTCTGTCACTCTCTCTCTGTCTCTCTGTCTCTCTGTCTCTCTGTCTCTCTGTCTCTCTGTCTCTCTCTCTCTCTCTCTCTCTCCCTCCCTCTCTCGATGTCTCTCTGTAGATACATAGCCGATGCATTAATAGGTTTTATAGGCAGGAATATACGGCAACATACCTACATTTGTCTGCGTAGATCTATAAAATAGTCATACTGAGTGATACGCACGTGTCATGGGCTTCTAAGTTAGCTTCACCAGATCTCGCGAGCTGTTGCCATGGAGACATGGCCGACAGCCGCCAGAGAGCAAGCCGCAAAGATCGGTGACTTGGCAGTCCTGTCATAGCTTGGTGGCTTGTGTTAGCCGCAGTTCTAGGGATGATGTGTGGGTCTTAACGGCTTTTCCTGGGATTCCGACACACTCTGAGCCGAGGTCGAGGATATACATTTTTTTTTTGGGGGGGGGGTGGGGCTGTCCGGAGTTTCCGCAGTCTTCGCCCAAGCGAAGACATTCAGAAACAGGCCATCCTGCTGGCCGATGATGCCGCGCAGAAAGGCAAGCGTGAGGTCAGTTTCCGCTCCTCGGATGCAGACCCGTGTCGTCATCTGCGAAGCTGGCGGTAACCCTGCCCGAACCTGCAGGCGAGGGTGGTCCCGGCTTCGAGGTTTCGTCCTACGCCAATTGTTGCTGCTCCACGCCGAGCCTGAGCTCCCAGCTCAGACAGCTGCCCTAACCGCTTTGTGTGCCCCCTACCCCTGCCCGCTGCGACATTTCTTGTCGGTACCCTTTGTCCTCCTTCTCCCTGCTCCTATTTAGGTTGTTGCAGTCAACCACATTCATCCAAGCGCATCAACTTGGAGTGGGACAAGGATGCATGGGTTTTTGCTTTCTGCACTTGCCCTCCGACCTTGTCGGTGAATGTCGGCTGGAGCTAGGCCGCTAGGTGTTGCGAAAATTAGCAACTCCATTTTCCGACAGGAGAAGCTTGTGTCCAGTGCAGGCGCAGCTGCTGGGAGGATGCGCAGGAGTGGAGTGGCCTTGTCGTCTCATCTGCATCTTGTCCGGGCAGGCTATGTCATCCAGGAGCCTGTCAAGAAATGGTGGCCCCCTCACGGCCTCCCGAGATCCGCTCCAAAGCGAAATCCCCAGCACAGCCTAGGCTCGACGAGATGATCCGGCCGGCGGAGGCTCAAGTTCCGAGCCCCAAATTCAGCTTCGTGTGAGCAAGCGCGTCCGTGTGCTGTGCTTTTGTCAGAGCCTGGGGGTCGCTGACAGCGGAGCCAGCGGAGCATCGAGCAGAAGAGAAAGTGGGTCGCTTGGTTAGGACATTCTGATAGCGATCGCACTGTGCAGCTGTGTCAATATTTCTTCCCCGCAGTCCTGCATGTCATCAGTGCTTCACGTCTGGGAACATCGACCCGTGTACCTGAGGTTTGAGTCCGAGGCGATGAAGGACGGAACCATTTCGGGCTCCGTGGACGTCTTCCCCAAAGAGGCAGACTTTGCAGTGCCTCGTCTGGAGTGGCAACTACTGGGTCAGCTGCGATGAAGCTACCTGCAAGGACACTGGCCTCACGGCATTTCCAGAGCAAAGCTGGCAAAAAGATGATGTCGGCCCGAGATGTGACGCGTGCCAGCATTTCCCTGTCACTACACTTCGGCAGTTCTTGCGGTCCTAACTCGCTAGGAGTACAAGATGCATCATCCTTGGCTTCAGGAAGGCGTCTGCGCAGCATACCTCTTCCCTCGCAAACGTCAGCACCGAGGCTTGCACCAAGGGCAATGTACTGCAAGCAGCTGCATGAGAGTCCGCATGGTTGACGAAGAAGTCGTGCCAGACCCAACTTAGAGCAGAGCTTTATGCTGCTCGCGATGCAGTGCAATCTGGAGCGATGCCTGGCACCAAGATGCTGAATGCAATCCAGGATTTCGCACACGGGTAGTGTCGTACTGCATGCTATTTTCGATCTTAATGCAGATTGACAGCCACGACCTTTCAAATTGCGCAAGATTTTAGGAGAGCTGGAAGACTGCCACCAAGAGTTCTACGAGCTGTGCCACTTCGCAGCCGAGAAGGCGAGCTTCACTGGAGTGGGTCCGGAAAGCACTGCCAAATTAGCGATTTTTGTTGCGATTTTGCTTGCCCAGGGACGTTCTCGCAACCAAAATCGCTAAGGCCATTAACCTTTAAGTATATGTTTGAAAGAGAGGTTGCCATGACATTCCTGACAGGCGTTCCGAGCGGAGCACGTGATTCCTGTGAACGAGCAAGCTCGGGCCCTGGCAACATGATCTCTCAAGCTGTTAAGGATGGAGGTATAGGCGACGTTGCCTTTGTTACGTGCCATGGGGAGACTGCACATGTACCAGTGACCGGGTGGATTGTCCATGTGAGCGAGAGCGTGGCTTGTTTGGCTACGGCTTTGGGCGCTCTCGAGAAAGTGGCTAGCAAGACTAGCTACAAATCGGGATCGACCGAAATCGGGGTGATCAAGGTGAGCCTGGCCGCTCTTCGAAGCAGCCGACCCGACGGCTGGACTGGACTGAAGGTGAAAGACCTGCCCTCCTGGAGTGCATGCCAGAAGGCCTGGACGCAGGTCGCCGACCGCGACCTGAACAGCAGCGAGGCCGAGCCGAAGCCGACCGAGAAGCCCGCGAAGGGCAAGAGCCGAATCGAGCAGGAGCTGGGATCGCTGAAGAGTTTATTCGGGGCCGCCGGCCCGGGGGACGACAGCGACGAGGACGAGGAGGAGACCGACGAGGACGACGGCGAGGCTTTGGAACCGCGGGGCTTCCTTCGACCGGGGGCGTCTTCGAAGCGGAAGGAGAAGCCCAAGAAGAAGGAAAAGGAGAGCGCGCCCAACCTGGCCAAGGCCCTTGCCGGAGGCCAGAGTGCGGCCGACCTTCTTCCTTTGGCGCTGCTGGCCATGCTGGGAAACGAGAAAAAGGAGAAGAAGCGAGGCCGGAGCAGCCGGTCCGAGCAGGGCGACCTGGACAGTCGCCATGGTGGTTCGTCCTCCGACGAGTCGGAAGACGGGCGGCACATCAAGAACCGCGGCCTTCGGGCCGTAAGCACCTTGCACCGGCTCCACGACAGGATCCAGAAGAAGCCGCTGAAGATTTGCGAGACCTACGAAAGAGAGATCCGGGAGGAGATGGGGGTGATCCCCGGCCAGAGCTGGACCATGCGGGACTACGTGAAGAAGCAGCCGTGGGGAAAGTTCAAAGGGATCTATCGGTGCATGATGATGGATGTTGCCGCCTACGAGCAGCTGCGGGCGGGGAACCACGAAGTGGCTGGAGCACAGCTGGTGCAGAACATGAAGGCCAAGCTTCAGTCGGTCCTTCAGGGGGGCGACTGGAGCGCAGCCTGGCTCTTGACGGGGCTTCCAGATCCGATGCAGAAGCGGGATTTTGCGGGGACTCGCGAGGAGATGCCCGTTGTTTCGGGCTACGTGGAGGCCTTGGCGAATCTGCGCAAGAAGGTGAAGGAAGCCCAGGCAGGCAACGCGGGCGAGGAGGACGAGGAGCCGGCCTCGTCGAGCCGAAAGTAAGTCCTGGACAGCTGCATGGGACCCCAGGGCCTGGCTTAAGGCACCCAGCCCTGGAAGGATCGAATTGCCGACCCAGGTCGGCAATGACGTGCCGCTCTTCCCGGCCCTGCTCCCTTATCCCGAGGCCTCTTTTGTCGAGGAGGTCGCCGACTCTGACTCAGCATTGCTTTGGTGGGCCAAGTCATTCGTAAACACGTTTGTTGGCTGGTCTAACTTTGTGGTGCTGGGCTGCCCGGCGTTGGGGAGCAGTGCGTTGGAGCCGCGAGTTTTTCACAGAGGTGATGTACAGTTATTGTCTGAGAAGCTGCTCGGCGAGGTGGTCGAATTTGTTAATGTTGGGTTGGCTTTTGATTCTCTAGAATTTTCAGGCAACAGGTCTGTTCTGGAAGAGATGCTCCGGCTCAACTGTGCAAGCTATGGAGTGGGTCAGGTGCCTGCTCCGTCTGGCGCTCTTGCTGTGGCCGCTGATCGGGTGGCTGTGCCGGAGCTTGCCGGCGTTGTGGACCCATTGGACTGGCTGCCTCCAAGCCAGGCGATGGTGGTGGAACATTTGGAGGACATTCGCCTCCCGGAGCATGCTTGGGGTGAGACCGTGGTTGCGTGCCACCGGGTCCCGAAGGAGCACGAAGGCGAGCTCGCTCGCAAATTGCTGCGCGCCGGGATGGCGAAGCTTGTGGCGGAGAAGGACCTGCCGAGGACCTCAGAAGGCAGGCTGCTTTGCGGGGGCTTGTTCAGCGTGGAAAAGGATCAGCACAGCGACCGCTTGATATACGACCGCAGGCCGGAGAATGCGACCATGCCCAGCCTGGGTTGGGAGGCCCTGCCTTCCGGAGCTTGTTATGTGCGCATGTTGCTTGAGCCCCACGACCACGAGTACTTGAAGGGTTCCGGTGATGATCTGAAAAATTTCTACTACATGCTGAAACTCCCTGCTGGCTGGGTCCGCTTCAACCCGGTAGGCCGCCGGGTGCCAAAGAAGATCGTCGAGGAGTTTGGCGGCGACCCTGCTCTGGACCATCGGTTGTGCTTCAGGGTTTTGGGGATGGGTGATAAGAACGCTTGTTCGATAGCGCAGGCAACCCACGAAAGTATCTTGAAAAAGGGAGGCCTCTTGGATTCCAAGCATAAGCTGGTCTATGGCGAGAACGTTCCTGATGATGCGCTTTGGGAGGGGATCTACCTGGATGATTTGTTAATCACTTTGAAGGTGGCGACCCCCGACGTGATCCCTCTGGATGGTACCTTTTGCCCTCCAGCGCCTCAGGATTCTGACCCCGACATGGTCCACGCCAGGAAGGCCGAGATAGCTTATGAGAAAGCCGAGCTCCCAAGGGCCGTGCACAAATCGTTCCGTGCCCAGGTGAAGTTCAAGGCCTGGGGCGCCGAGGTGGACGGGGTGGCTGGCCGCGTCGGGGCCCTTTGGAGATGCGGAGGCAGCTGTGGGCCTTACTTGCTCGTACCGTGCGGCTGGGCCGTGTGACGAAAGAGATCCTGGAAAAGCTCGCGGGGTTCATTGCCTTCGTTTTCCAGTATACGCGGGAGTGCTTCGCTCTTCTTCATCACTTCTACGTGTTCACTTCAAAGCTGCCTGCGGGGAAGAGTGTCCGGTTGCCAGGTTACATTGCCGACGAGCTGCGAGCCGTGGCCCTGCACTTACCCATGGCCTCTTGGAACATGCGAGCTCGGCTGTCCCGCTCCCTGCTGGCAACAGACGCCACACCTACATCGGGAGGGGCCGCTCGGGCTCCGATCTCGCAAGCTTTGGCTCGTGAGCTTTGGCGCCGTTCGAAAGTCAGGGGGGCCCCGGTCAGGTTGGAGCCAGGGTCTGAAGGAGTTCTGGCCGAGGCCCCGATCGAGACTTCAAAGTTCGCGGCTTGCATCTCGCCGTGCCTCCGTTGGCAGGTCGAGGGGAGCTACACGTTCAAGAAGACCCACCACATAAACCTCCAGGAGGCGCGGGCCCTGAAGCGTGAGATCGTGAAGCTCGCAAGCCACCCCGGGAACATTGACACCATACAAGTAGCCCTGAACGATTCCACGGTGGTGGTAGGTGCTGAGTGCAAGGGTCGTTCGAGCTCTTTCCGGCTGAATGGGATCCTGAATGCGCAGCTTCCTTTCCTGATTTTTGGAGGCGTGCACCTGCGCTGCTTTGGGTGGAGACCGAAGCTAACATAGCCGACTGGCCGTCCCGCTTCAGGCCACTACCGCCGCCGACGGCACCAGCGACTTGGATGGAGGCCTTCGGCATTTCGCGAGGCCGGGCCCCCAGGGGCTGGGGCGGAGACGGCGGCATCACCGCGGCTTGCCGCACGCAAGGCTGGACCATGGAGGAGCCGAGCGAGCCCGGGACCCGCGTGGGTGACTTGATTTTACACGTGGTCGAGAGAATCTGCCAGGGGGCCGTGGATTGGCTGTGGTTGGCTCCTCCTGCAGCCTTCCTTCGGAGTCGGTGCGGCACTCAGTTTTCCTGCGACGAAGCTAAATGGATGGTGGTGCTGTCGTGGGCCCGCTTGATCGCCGATCAGGGTGGGCACTTTGTGGTGGCATTGCCGGCGCGCTCGAAGGCGTGGTCCTGTCGAAGTACCGAGGTTTTCTTGAAGCGCGAAGGGCTGCAGCTTTTGAGCGTTCGGTGGAATGATTATGTTACTCCGCCCCACGGCCCGCTGACTTCCCGAACCAGGTTGCTTTCAAATTTCCCTTGGGCCACCGCGGTGCAAGGGCCGTGCCGGGATCAAGCCGCCGCCCCTCCAGGAGTCCCTGCTCATCCTCGTCGCTGCCTCTTCCGGTAGGTCCATTCCTGGTCCCACCAAGAGTCCTGCAAAAGGCACACAGAAGCCGAATACCACAATGACCAGGCACATCCTCCTCCGCCGGCGGTGCCCTGGAAGAGCTGGAGCCCGAGCCCTGCACGTCGGGGCCCAAAGCAAAAATAAAGGGTGCCAAGGCGGCCTGTGCATGGCCTGAGACAGCTGGCCCTGGCCGGGTGCCCACATCCGCTCCTGCATGTCGGAGCACAGAGGCAACTGAAACAAAGGACGACTGCACTTGCAATGCCTGTCCTGCACTCGCAGCTGGTCACGTTGCAGTGCGATGTGGTCGCTCATGACACCAGCTAACGTGTTCGCAGTTGCCATGGCTTCCGAAGCGATCCTAGCAGCACCGCCGCCCCTCGTCCGGGCACGGGTGCGACCGCATCCTGGAGGGAACAGCTGCCCGTCTGCCGTGACGAAGCCGGCCACCTGCACTCCCTGAGGCTTCGCAGCACCTGACAGGACTGCCATGGTGTTGCCGTGTGAACCAAGCATGATGACACGACTGCCTCCGGAAGCCCACGGTGCTTTGAAGCTGCTGGGCACGTGCACGAAGCCACCCTGCAGCACACATGTCACTGATGTCACTGTGCATGTGCTGCCGGCGAGCCAACAGGCCCTGCCAGGCGACCATGCCACAGGCATCAAACCCTATATAGCCTTGGTCGGCACCTTCATCATGGCCGTCTCCTTTTCCGGAAGAGCACAACAAAAAAAGAGACGATACAACCCACTGTCCTTGCCTGCTTGGCCAGCTCCAGCTTCTTCCCAGGTCGGGCCTGCAAAAGCGCCATGTGGCTTGCATCATGTGGAGTTGCAACACACGAAACCCAAACCCCAAACCCGAAACCCTAAACCCTTGGCCTTCTGCTTTGGCTTAACCGCAGCCAGCTGTGTGGCCTGGGTTCGAACACGGCAGGATCCACGAAACTGCCGACACATGCTGCACCCAATCGCCTCCTTGCCGGGATCATCATCATCATCGGCCAAGTCCTGCATGTGCTCCATTCTTTTCAAGTCACACAAGAATGGCATCCACAGGCCTTGGGGCTGTGGAGAACAGGATCCTCATCCTCAGTTCGAAAGGAGCAGAGCAACCCAACCCAGAGCCCATGAAGACGGTGGATGGGCCTCCTCGAGACGAACTTCCACTTCTTCGTCCTCCGGAAGACATGCACGAAACCGCCTGTGCTCCCAAGACCCGTGTGAACCCAACCTGCTCTTCAAAGAAGGGCTCCTCCGGTAGGTCCTGATCGAAGGGTGTTAAGGTGGGTTGAGGGTTTTAAGGTTTGGCGTACGGTTGGGGTTTTCAGGCTTTGGGCTTAAAATATACAAGAACCCTTGGTGTCTATATGTGTACATAAGGATGTGATAGAAAAAGAGCTATACCTGTATTGCCTATATACCTATATATATATATATATATATATGTATCTACATATACACTTACTTATAATTACATTTATACAGAAATCTGTATACATGTATATATATATATATATGTATATATGTATATATGAGAACCAATATATACGGAGGCTAGATATTCGCAATCTCAGCATGAACATTGCCACAGCTTTGCAAGTGCTGAAGCTCCTGCTCACCCTCGGCCGGTGCCTCCACCATGACGGGCTCCTGCAAAGGTGTCGGCGTGATGGCTCCATGCAGGGCCGATGTGCTCGCAGGCAAGCCAGCATGCACCGGAATGGAACAAAGCAAGCCAATGCCTCGTGATGCTCTGGGCCCTGTTCTTCCTGCATGCACACGACAGTCTTATATGCCCAAGACAAACCGGAATGCAACAAAACAAGCCAATGCCTCCTGGTGGTCTGGGCCCTCATGTTCGTCCTGTGTGCACACGAAAGTCTTACATGCCCAAAGCAAACTGGGAAAAGGCACTGCCTCCACGGCATGCTTCTCGTGGCGAGGGTCCTTCGGGATTTTATGAGTTTAGGGAAACCAACTTGAAGCACAACATGCTGCCAGCCTCGTGAAGCGGCACAACTCTCCCATCCACCACACTCTGCAGGAGTTTTTTGCTGGCAACGTACCGGTTTTCTTGGCGGCTCCAGTACTTCCAGCCTTTGAGGGGAGGCTGCACCGAGCCCACGTCTGGGTGGTGCCACAACGACTGCTGGTTGTTGCTGTCGATGTGCCAGCCACGCCATTGGGACTGTGGCCCCGTCCACCTGAGCTTGCTCCCGCTGGGAGTCACCCATCGCGGTTTCCGCCCTGCATGCCGACACACAAAGACTTTGTGCACAGGATTGCATGAAGACTGCAGCCAGCCTTTGCTCTGGACGAAGTTCTCCTCGACCTCCACCTCGTCCATGAAGAGCCGCTGCTCACCACCCTGGGAAGTTGCAGGTTTGCCCGAGTCTATAGAACCACAACTTTTGAGACCAAACTGGGTCCACGGCGGAAGGGGTTCCGGAACACATCATCGTGAACCCCGACATGGCCCCGGACTCAGCAAAGCTAAAAGCCCCGCCCCAAAAAGCCAAAGGCCTCGAATCATGATGCATTCCGCCATGTTCCATGCTGAGCAGCTTCCAGAATGCTTGCATGCGACAAACAAATTGCAACTTTCTCTCTTCTGTCTGCATCATGGGAATGCATGCATGTGACAAACAAATGGACACTTTCTCACTTCTGTCTGCATCATGGGAATGCATGCATGTCACAAACAAATGGACACTTTCTCACTTCTGTCTGCATGTGGCTGATCGAGAGAACACGATGTGCTACAAACCCGGCCGAATCTCGTTAGTTCTCGGAACTGCTTTCCTCGTTCTTCTCATCGTTGTCATCATCCGACTTCTCCTGCGACTTCTCCTGATCATTGCCCGATCGGCGACTGGTTCGCCTTTTCTTGCGGGGTTTCTGCTCACTGCTGTCGACACTATTCTTCAGCCATTTCAGGTTCTCTTCGGAGAATTCGATCCACACCGATTTTGTTCCGACTCCGTCGAACAGCACCTGGAACTCGTGCCCCTGGACCGAGATGGTGAATTTCAGCGGCAACACCAGTGCATGTTTCGATAGGGCTTTGACCACTTGCGGCTTCTTGGACTTCCTCTTGTTCTCAGTCGCAGCATCCTCCTCCGTGTTCAATGCCTCCTGCAACACCTGGTTTGCCTTGTCTTGTCTCGCGCGGATCATTTTGTCCCAGATGTCAATGTTCAACGAACCACTGGCTTTGCCTGGCCGGAGGTCTAAGGATTTCCCTGTCAGTGTTTTGACAAGGGCACGATCCCACTTCTTGAGAAGCATGTAGGTCTCACCGTCGACAGATTTCTGCTCGGGGATGCAATGGTTGCCATTCACATACAGCACCATCTTCTTCTCGACAGTCAAGTTCATGGCAGGCAGATTCCAGCTATGTGTTGGTTCCTATATAGAAATGCTCAGCCAGAAGATCCTGCAATCGAAACAACATGCACTCAGCTGCCTGCGAGCTAAAGAAGCCCTGCAGGCGCTGAAGAGCAAGCACGAGGCACAGCACAATTTCAACAACTTAAACTCCTGCCTTTGGAGGTGCTCAAAAGACTGCAATCACACTTTTGAAGAAGCCTCGGTCCGTCCCTGCTTGCCAATGTTGCTCGTGTGAAAGGAAGACTCAATCCCGATGCATGTTCAGAACATGACAGCCAATGCTCACTTCTTGGTGGTTTTGGCTTTCTTGGCTTTCGGGGCATGCTCCTCGTCGTCAGCCTGCTTCACCTTCAGGATATGCAGAGCAGTCCCCGTGCCAATCTCCTTGCTGTTCTTCAACATTGGGATGCGAACCGACGATTGTACGGTCCCGGACATGACCTGAACCATGTTGGCGGAATCTTCGTCTTCGCAAGACCCGACCAAGAAGTACGGCGAGATGAAGTGTTTGCCCACTTCTGGATTGCTATCCTTCGGCAAGGAGTTGCAGCTCTGCAACCAAAACTCACGATCGTCGAGCTTCCACTTTTGGTTTGCACCTGGACTGCATTCGCCATGGGCTCGGGCTTCGGGCTCCTCGTGCAAACCTTCCAGCTGTATGGCACCAACATGAGCTTGCCTTTCCCGAAGACCTGCTGGCTCACCAAAGCTCTGCATGGCTTCAGCTGCAGAGACAAGCCCTCGAGAATTTTCTGCGAATCGTGGGTCTTGACCAACTCATGCATTGCCTGATGAATCTCAGCGATCACCAAGCCGGCCAAGAAATCGTTGTTCCTCTTGGGCCCCATGGACTGCAAACTAGCAATGGACTCGGGCTCCGCTTTCGGCTTGAAAACCATCCATCCCGAATTCAGCAAATCTCTCGCCGGCACCTTCAACACTCCACCGGACTTCAGATCCTTGACGGTGACATTGCTGTCGTCCATGGCGCCGATTTGGCCTTCGAACTTCTCGCCTTTCTTCTTGATGCAGGCACCAACGATGAAGCCCTCAGCACTGAGGAGCTCAAGCGGATTCTTGAGGCTGCCGTCTGGATTCAGCTCCCGGAGTCTTTCCTGGACCCCCTGGGACCCCGAAGACTCCTGCTGTTGCCCTGCATCCATCACTTCCGCATCGCCCGCCCAAGGCGACTCCAGAGCTGTCCCAAGCAGGCCATTCGCCACCGTGATGCAATCATGGGCCACTGCTTCCACAGCCTTGTACTTCTTGTCGTCCTCAGGGCTCAGGCCCAAGACGAGCTTCGCCATCGTGCAATCCGTGACCCCCAAGAGATTCACTAGCCGAGTGTCGCTCATCAACTGCACACCGGCTCCGGTGAGCATGCTGCGAATCTTGGACATTGCCTCGTCGGCTTTGATGGCGTTGGGAAGGGCATCTTTGGCCAATGCCTTCTTGACAGATGTGGCAGTCACCAGATTGGTGCTCAGTGCAAGTTTCACCAAAGCATGCCTGAAGAAGGTCACTTGGTCGCCCTTCTTCAAGTCCGCCGACACATTCTCCCAGAAGGAAGGTCCCATGCCCTTGCTCTGGCCGTGACTGCGAAGAAACATCTCAGTCTCGGCGAGAAAGAATGCATCCGCACCGCCACAATGCCTGCATCTCTATATACTTTGCATGCAGGCACTGTCCAAAACCTCTTAAACACAGACACTACATAATAAGAGATCTACAATCAAAGTGCCAAGCAAGAAACCTGAGTGCGAACTGATACAGCCCTGGGAGGCACTCTGCACACGGAGGCTTCGAGTGCAGGGCTTGTCTCTTGACCGTCTGATAGTCGGGCACACCGGTCTGTCGCCCCACGATGGTACAAATCCGCCGCTACTGAAGTTCTGATTCCGTTTTTTGTAATGTTGCATCGCATGAGGACTGAACCAGCTGCAACAAGTCTGGCCACTTCTGGCCCACTTCAGCTGCGATGACCGTCCACTCCAGGCCTTGGAGTACACACTCAGCGAGCACCGGGTCCCGCTTCTGCACTAGCTCTAGGGAGAGAGTGCCCTGAACCGAGATTACCTCCGATTTGTGGGGTGCTCCGTCAGCCACCAACCGAAGTGCAAAATTGGTGTGGGAACTGCTGAGGGAGAGCACTTTCACTTCTCCAAGTTCAAGCCGGCCGAGCTGACCACCTGCAGACTCAACCAGCTGCTTGTTGAAGTGCTGCTCAGCCTCGCTGGAAGCTGCAATGGCAATGGGATTCGTCCGAGTCGGCTCGAAGCCGACAGCGGAGATATTGTCCAACAGCTCATGGACGTCTTGAACTACAAGACATGCCCCATCCCGATTGGCTGGGTGCACTCCGACAGCCTTGGGTGGGATTCGCATGCGCTGAAGCAGGGAGTGTCGCTTGAGCACGGCAAAGATCTGCTGGACATTGCGAACCAGAAAGTCCCCCTTCCGACTGCTCTCCTCCACCAGGCGACTGATCTCCGCCACAGCCTCCGGGGTCAAAGGCATCGCGAGCGATTCTGATCGCAGGCGAAAGTAGATTCCTTGCCAGCTCTGCACATGCTGGCGGCTCAACATGATCGCTGCAAAACACATGCCCCTGCAAGCAGCCCGGCTGCCTGCGAGCAATACTGCCCTGCATGGCGCCGAGGCTGCTTGCCACAGCAAATTCAGCAATAATTGCATGAGCGATCCTGTAGATCCGTCCATTTCCGCCAACAACAATTGAAAATATCCCTGCTGCAGAAGCACAGAATGCATGCATGGAGCTTGCAAAACAAATACAGTTGTCTGAGTTCTGTCATACACTAAGTTGAACATACAGGGCTTACTCCATATACTTAAATGAACTTATAACTTCGGTGCCTGAGATGCTTATAATAACATAGATATAACTAGATATAGTTAAGTCGGCTATGTGTTCCAAGTACTTGGCTCGGTTATTATGTAAATACTATCTGAACAGCCTCACATAATAAGTCGTATATAGCACGAATATATGTTCCATATGTCTATAGACATAGGCATGTTATAAGTACAGACTTATGTCAAGTATATATTCCTTTCAACTGCTCTATCTGTTTATAAACGCCCCGCCCTCTCAAGTAAAATGTGGATAAAAGGCATAAGTTGTTAGTAAGCCGCCGCCCCGCCCGCCCGCCCGCCCCGCCCCCCCGCGCCCGCCTGCTCCGCCCGTCCGCGCGCGCCCTGCCACACCCCGCACCCCCCGCGCCCGCGCCCCGTGCGCCACGCCCGCGCCCCCCGCCCCGCGCCCCGCGCCCCGTGCCCCCTTCCCCCCGCCCACACCCCGCCCCGCCCACACGCCCGCACGCCCGCGCCGCACGCCGCCCGCACCCGCACACCGCGCCCGCACGCGCCGCCCGCCGGCCGCCCCCCGAACGCGACCGCCGGACCGCCCGACCGCCCGACCGCCCGACTGCCCGACCGCCGACCGACCCGGGGCACGCCTGCACGCACACGCACGCACGCAGGCACGCACGCAGGCACGCACGCACGCACGCACGCATGCAGGCACGCACGCATGCATGCACGCGCGCAGGCACGCACGCAGGCACGCACGCAGGCACGCACGCAGGCACGCACGCAGGCACGCAGGCAGGCACGCAGGCAGGCACGCAGGCAGGCACGCAGGCACTTGCAGGCACGCAGGCACGCAGGCACGCAGGCGGCACGCAGGCACGCAGGCGGCACGCAGGCACGCAGGCACGCAGGCAGGCACGCAGGCACGCAGGCACGCAGGCACGCAGGCACGCAGGCACGCAGGCACGCAGGAACGCAGGCACCCAGGCACGCAGGCACGCAGGAGGGGGACGCCTAACAATGTATATCGAGGGGGGGGTACAGCATTTGAAGAAATACATTTCTCTGGCCCGGGCCAGATAAGGGGGGCTGATATACATTTCTGCTGGCTGCCAGAAGTCTGCGATGCAACATGTTTCGAAAGCACTATGCCGCTCGCTTCCTTTGGCGCCGAGGTGGCTTGGACAAGTCGTAGCGGTGCATAGCACGACATCAGCAGAACCGGTGCACAACCACTAGTGGACTACTGGCTTTGCCAACAAGAACTACTCCACTACTACTCCTACTACTACCACCACCACTACTACGACCACTGCTACGAGGCGGGTTTAGGATTCTGGACCTCCCGGGGGTCGAGATGGGCTGGAATGTCCTTTACCGTAATTATGGCAAAGCATCACTTGCCAACAGCCCACGGGTCACATGGAAGGCAACTTCGTCCGGCAGCACATAGGCATCCAGTGGACAGCCGATCTCTGCAGCTTGTTTCTGCCGCACTATTCCCGAGTACACTTGGCTGAGCGCTGCACCATGCAGCAACAAGTCTCTGAGATGGCCTGGTTTTTTAGGATCCTGGCCCAGCCAAGATCGCAGCCAGGCCCCGGAAGCATCACCCCACCACTGTCGGATGTGAAGGAGACAATGAAACGTGCAGGCTGTGGAACACGCCTCGGGCAGGTCGCTGGAGTTCTGGCTCGTCTCAGACTCCCAGCACTTGCTTCCGCCGTCCTGGAACCAAGCACACGTAATGTATATTTGGGGGGGTCTTGGTCCCAAACCCCCCCCAAATATACATTTCAGCCCTGGCTCACTCCCAGGAATGCACGAGGAGGCTTGCAAAACACAGAACACCTCGGAACACTTACAGAATCTATACTGAACCTCTTATTGAACTCTACCAGAACACTACTAGAACAGTGCTAGAACTCCATATAGACTACTCATTCACCGAGAGCCAGGCACACGTAATGTATATTTGGAGGGGGCTTGGTCCCAACCCCCCCCCAAATATACATTACAGCAGGGTTTGCCAGCCCGAGCTTGTACCCAAGTCCCTATGAATCTGGTTTTTTTATGCAAGGTTGGGTAAGAAGAGATGTTGCTCGATCTAGGGTCCTTTTCTGGGAAAGGACCCGCGACTGGTGCCAGACTGCTGCCAGGCTCACTTACCGACGCTTACGGAGAGCTAGACACGCGTAATGTGTATTTTCGGGGGGTTCTGGTTTCCAAACCCCCCCAAATATACATCCCAGCTGTGGTTCACTCCTGAGAATGCTGACAACACTCTCACAACAAACCGAACGCGCAACCCGACTGCTGCCAGGCTCCTTTGCCGAGAGACTACCGAGAGCTACGCGCACGTAATGTATATTTCGGGGGGTCTCGTTCCCAAACCCCCGCCAAATATACATTTCGGCCTTGGTTCACTCCTAGGAAAACTCGAGGATTCCCAGACAACTCTCCCCGACCTCGACACATAATATACTCATAGTATCTACACGCTCTCGTAGCTGACTGGGTACAAGACGCAATCGCGGAATGTCCCACTAGTTTTGGTTGTGGATGACGAGACAGAGAAGACATCAACACTACATCAACACTGCTACAGAAGAGTGCTTGCACTGCGCCCAGCCACGCCCAACCGGTCCTGCAGAGCCTGCCACTCATGTTGCCAAATGTGCTCCACCAGCGGTCTGTACCTTGATCTCACCAACAAGGCCATGGGATCCTCGTGGACCAGCTCCATCCGTGACTCCCGTGACAAGCCTGACAACAGCAGTAGTAGTAGTAGTAGTAGTAGCCAAAGACGAACGTGCTACGGTGCTGTGCTGGCTTTGTGGCTGCGGTCCTGGGAACGTCTCAGCATCACCGTGCCGCAGAAACGCGCTGACCTCCTGCAGGAACACCAGCCAGTAGTCCGACTGAGTTTGCCAGTCCAGCCTGCCCGAGCTAGGTTTGCAGCACATGTACAGGATATCATTACGACGGCCCAAACCCGGCCACCAACCCCCCCCTTTCGGCCCGAGAAGGGGGGGTTGCCTCAGGGCCAATTTGTAGGGTCCACCAACCCCCCCCCTTCGGCCCCGAAAAGGGGGGGTTGCCTCAGGGCCAATTTCTAGGGTTCGGGGGGAAAGAATGCCATAAGTGCTGGAGCCAGCTCCAATCTCAGGCCGTGTGCAATTCTTAAGCAGAACACTACCGCACGTGACCCCTGGCACTCCCCTGGCCACCCGCCTGTAGAAGCCAACGTTGCCGGGGAGAAGTTCAGCTTCCAAGTTGTAGCGGCGGTGCGGCAGTAACAGAACTCTAGCCTCCTCTGTCAAGTCTTGCAAGCACCCTGGCATCACGAAGCCAGTGTGAACGAGTGCATGTGAAGCCAGTGTGAAGTTGTGAGAACCTCGAAAACTGTCGCAAACGAGAACCTAGCCAACCCCCTAATATTATACATTCCCCCCGGCCGGTTAATGTATATTCGAGGGGGGGCCTGTCAAAACCGTTTGGGGGAGGGGGTCACGCAGGCACGCAGGCACGCAGGCACGCAGGCACGCCACGCACGCCAGGCACGCCAGGCACGCCAGGCACGCCAGGCACGCAGGCACGCAGGCACGCCAGGCACGCCAGGCACGCAGGCACGCAGGCAGGCAGGCACGCAGGCACGCAGGCACGCACGCACGCAGGCACGCAGGCACGCAGGAACGCACACGCACGCACGCAGGAACGCACGCACGCACGCAGGAACGCACGCACGCTCGCACGCAGGAATGCACGCACGCACGCAGGAACGCACGCACGCACGCAGGAACGCACGCACGCACGCACGCACGCAGGAACGCACGCACGAACGCACGCACGCACGCACGCACGCAGGAACGCACGCGCGCACGCATGCACGCACGCAGGAACGCACGCAGGCAGGAACGCACGCAGGAAAACGCACGCAAGCAGGAACGCACGCAGGGACGCACGCAGGAACGCACGCAGGCAGGAACGCACGCAGGAACGCACGCAGGAACGCACGCAGGAACGCACGCACGCACGCACGCGACGAGACATTGATCACAGCCTTCAGCCTCTTTTTCACTTTTCAGTCATGTTTGCCGTTGCTGTTACAGTGTTTGTACAACTCCGCGTTCGTTGTAGGCATTGCATGTTTTGCACAACATTTGCGCAACACAATCACGACGAACATTCGGCGGAGATGTAACAATTCGTTTCCGCCGGGCCTTGGATTTGCATTGTCCGACGTTTGCGCCCGTTGGCTCATCTATGCTTCCATAGCAGAGATATAGACATAGAGATTCACAGGGAACAGCTGACGCCTCCAATACAAGCCATGAGTGCTGGTAAGACGGCTTACACGGACGTCGAGAGGGAGCTCTCAGACACGGTCGCCACGGCGAGAGCCAACTTGGATGCTGACAAAGTAACAAAGGATGACCTCAATGTTTTGGTGCGGATTGTCAACGAGTGGAAGCTGCGTTATATGAAGGTGGCCAAAAAGATCCTCCAGCCGGTTGCAGCCGAGCTTCAACAACTCTTCGAAAGGGCCGCGACGGTGATAAAGTCAGCAGCAGGCCTGGTTAAAACGGTCGAAGACTTGATATCGGTGGTGCGACAGATCTACGAGATGTACGTAAAATATGTCCAGCCGCTGTCGGACCAGGCGGGACGAGTCGGCTTCAATGGATGGTTCTGGCTTATGTTGATCTCTGAAGTTGTTCACCGAGCTTTCTGGTGTGACCCTATCCGCAACACACACACACAACCTTTTATCC